GGGTGCTCCTTACCTGCAGGCAGGTGGCAACACCCTATCTGCTACCATTAGCACCTTCCAGAGCCCACCTGCCCTGCCCAGTCACATCCTGCTCTGCCCCATCTGGGATGCTGTGCTCAGGGATGGGCTGGCAGGGCTGCACCCAGCCTCCCTGGTAAGTAGAGACTCAGGAAACCTTTTCGGTCCTCCTGTTTTCTGATTGTGTGATCCAAGGGGTACACACTGGCCCCTTGGGTGCCAACAGAAGGGCTTGGGAATCTTGCTCTCCTGATGTAGTTGACTGCCCACCCCCACCCCACATGGGTTTCCGAGTCAGCAGGTCAAGCATTATTTTATTTTACTTTACTTTATTATTTTATTTGAGACGGAGTCTGGCTCTGTTGCCCAGGTTGGAGCACAGTACCGCAATCTCAGCTCCCTGCAACCTCCGCCTCCCGGGTTCAAGTGATTCTCCTGCCTCAGCCTCCTGAATACCTGGGATCACAGGTGTGTGCCACCATGCCTGGCTAATTTTTGTATTTTTAGTAGAGATGGAGTTTCACCATGTTGGCCAGGCTGGTCTTGAACTCTTGACCCCAGGTGATCTGCCCACCTCAGTCTCCCAAAGTGCTGGGATTACAGGTTTTTGTTTTGTTTTGTTCTTGGGTTTTTTTTGTTTTTTTTTTTTTTTGAGACAGAGTCTCCCTCTGTTGCCCAGACTGGAGTGCAGTGGCGTGATCTTGGCTCACTGCAAGCTCCGCCTCCCGGATTCACGCCATTCTCCTGCCTCAGCCTCCTGATTAGCTGGGACCACAGGCCCCCACCACTGTGCCCAGCTAATTTTTTTGTATTTTTAGTAGAGACTGGGTTTCACCGTGTTAGCCAGGATGGTCTCAATCTCCTGACCTCGTGATCCGCCCCTCTTGGCCTCCCAAAGTGCTGGGATTACAGGCGTGAGCCACCGCGCCCAGCTGGGATTACAGGTTTTAAATTGTATTTTAAATTCATGTTTTAAGGTTGTCAAAAAGAATCACTTAACATTAATATATCTCCCTCCAATATACACAGAAGTATATATTTCGTATATGTTAAGTTTACAACCTTTATGCATGTGTTTGCTATTATTAAAATAGGTGATGTTGTATAGTGCTTCCTAAATGCCAGTCTGTGGGCCCTTTGCATGAGAACCTCCTGAGAAGCTTTTGGGAAACTCTCAAAAGCTCATCCCAGAAAATTCAGTTCAGTATTCTGGGTGTTATGATAAATAGTCAGGTTTGGGGACACTTTTGTAAATGGCTTTATTACTGCCATTTAATATTTTTCTCCCTTGTTACTTTTTTTTTTTTTGAGACAGAGTGCAGTGGCATGATCTCAGCTTGCTGAAACCTCCACCTCCTGGGTTCAAGCAATGCTCCTGCCTCAGCCTCCCAAGTAGCTGGGACTACAGGCGCCCGCCGCCACATCTGGCTAATTTTTTTGTATTTTTAGTAGAGATGGAGTTTCACCTTGTCGGTCAGGCCGGTGTCGAACTCCTGGTCTCAAATGATCCTCCTGCCTCAGCCTCCCAAAGTGCTGGGATTACAGCCGTGAGCCACCGTGCTCGGCCTCCTCATTACTTTTTGTGCCTCTAAGGTAGTCCAATTCTGTAAGATTTGCTAAGGTGTCATTTTTTTGTCCGCAGGAAAAGAGAGGGAACAAAGCATCTGATAAAGCCACTATCCTGGCCTTTGATGCCCTGGTGACCTTCTGTGAAGAACTGGGGTAAGTGACTTATTTTGTGTGTGGAGCAAAGTGTCAGTGAGATCATTTACTTCCCTGGCCCCGCTAGTTAAGCAGCTGACATAAGACAGCCCGTAGGCTACCAAGGGACCCCTGCCTGCAAAGGCTGTTGTGTTGGGCAGCGTGGAAGTCAGGACCTTGCTGTTCTCTATTGGAGTCCCCAGGATCTCTGGCAGTGTGAGGATTTGCTCAGTCTTCTGAGTGGTATCCTTCCCTCCACTCCACCCTCTTCTGGAATGGCTGGCCTCACAGGCCACTCAGTTCCAAGGGATGTGACCAGCTCTGAGCTGTCGGCTTTGTGGTCATCATGTGCCACCGAGCTGGGACTTCTGGCATCACTTGAGTAGTTCTCACTCTTATCCAGGACCCACACAGAAGCCTGTGGCCCCGCTTACCTCGGGGAGTCATGTGCTTTGAACCCACACATCTGTTTTAGCTGCATCTGCAGGCGATGGGGCAGGGGCCACAGGAAGAGCCCAAGGGCTGCTCAGTGTAGTCAGGTCATGTCCAGGCATGCAGAGCTATGAGTGCCTGGGTGAGAGACAGCTAGGAGGAGTCTTTACATTTTGATCGAAAAAATTCTTGGATTCATTTCATCTCATGGAATGATCCTGTCGGGGGATGACGCTGACGTGATTGCTTCAGACTTAGAGGTGAATAAATCGAGGTCCAGAGAGGTCACAGTCACGCAGCTTGTGGTAGACTGAGGCCACTAAACACCCGGCTCCTGATTTTCAGCGGCATGCTCATTTTCATACACCTAGGCCATCTTGGTTTTTGCGAGAAAAAACCAAGGAAATCAGAAAAGCTCTTCTTTGAGCTGTGTGTTTTTATTTCCACCTCCTCCTGTTCACCAGTGAGTCGGTGGCTTCTGGACTGAAGCTATTTTCTTCTCCAAACTGCCATCTCTAATTTGGCCTCTGTGGCAAGACCACGCCCAGCAGAAGTGGTCGGCTGCAGTGCCAGGACCACCCTTGCCTGCAGCCATTGCGACCAGAGCCCTTTTCAAGCACAATTAATACAGGAGTTGCTAAATTTGGCCGCCTTAGGCTTTTTGAGTAGAGCTTCCATTTCTGGTGAGGAATGAAAGGGCCAAGTGTTCCTGTTCATTGTGAGTCCTTTTTGCTGAAAAAAGCTCCGGGGCTGTCCGAGGCTCTGGAATGCTCTCTGGAGGGAGGGTTAACTCTGCCCGTCCCCAGGGTCTGCTCAGTCTGCCAGGCAAGGGAACAGGTCCTCCCAAGGGCTTCTGCCTTTGTTTCTCCTGTCACCTTCCGGGGAGCTGGGACTTCTTAGTGCATCAGTGGCCTGGTTGCCAGGGGCTGGGGTCTAGGCATCTCTGGACCCAAGGAGTCCAGGTGACAGCATTGTGCTGCCTCTTGTGCAGCCTTGTACGTGTCTCCTTTGCTACATGTGATGATTCTGAAATCCAGGCGGCAGGCTGGAATAAACACTGCTGGTATGTCTGTATTGGCTACTGTTCTTTGAATAAGTGAATGTTTGTTTATTTCCTAACTGGTGTATAGCACAAAGAAAAAGCCCCTTCTCCACCAGATATTTGCTCCCTAAGAATAGTTCTCGTTGGAGGCTGAGGTCGAAGCAGCCTCCCACCAGCGTTCCCTTGGGGTAGGCACCTGGCAGTGAGGGACAGAGCCAGTGGGGTGGGCTCAGCAGAAGTGGGTACATTTCTGCAAAGGAAGCTGTAGGTTTCCGGTCGGTTTGTTGTGGGGTGTGAGGCGCATGGGAGTGGGACCAGCAAAAAAGATACTCAGGTCAGTTAACTAATAAGGCAGGGCTGTGGCAGTCAGCAGTTTCTCTATCTGTAGCTACTTTCTCTGGGCTATAACCTTGAAAAAGCAGTGTTTGATTATTCATGACTATGAGTGTCTTTTAGTGTCATAGGGAACAGTTATTACGTTTGAAGCAACCTCCAGCTTGAGGCCTCGGCATTTTGAGATGGAAGAGCAGCCTTGTGTTTAGACCTGGATTGAATTGGGCCCTGTTGTCTCCTGGGATCTTGGGGCTGGGGGTGCCCAACAGCCCGGCATCTTCTTGTTTATCTGTGTGTTTACTCATTCAGTCATTTATTCAGCTGACAAATATTGACTGATGCCAGCTCTGTGCCAGGTACATTGGACTTGGGGGATACACTGGTGGGCAGAAATAGCCCCGTCCCCTGCTTTATAGTGCTTGGTCCAGTGGGGAAGAGAGCACTGCAGATAGTCACAGCAGAGACATGTAAGTCCCAGAGCCGGCCATGGTGGCTCACACCTGTTATACCAGCACTTTGGGAGGCTGAAGCGGGAGGATCGCTTGAGCCTGGGAGTTCAAGACCAGCCTGGGCAACATGGCGAGACCCTGTCTCTACTAAAAATACAAAAAAACACAATTAGCCAGGCATGGGTGGCACACGCCTGTAGTCCCAGCTGCTCAGGAGGCTGAGATGGAAGGATCATGTGAACTCAGAAGTCTAACGTGCAGTGAGCCGAGATTGTGCCACTGCACTCCAGCCTGGGCGACGGGAGTGAGACCCCATCTCCAAAAAAAAAAAAAAAAAAGGCCGGGCTCAGTGGCTACCGCCTGTAATCCAAACACTTTGGGAGGCCGAGGTGGGCGGATCACGAGGTCAGGAGATCGACACCATCCTGGCTAACACGGTGAAACCCCATCTCTACTAAAAATATGAAAAAAATTAGCCGGGCATGGTGGTGGGCACCTGTAGTCCCAGCTACTTGGGAGGCTGAGGCAGGAGAATGGCATGAACCCGAGAGGCGGAGCTTGCAGTGAACCAAGATCATGCCACTACACTCCAGCCTGGGTGACTGAGCGAGACTCCGTCTCATAAACAAACAAACAAAAAAGACATATAAGTCCTGTAAATGGTGTTTCGAGAGTATAAAACAGGTGGCCTTACCCTAATCCTCGAGGGTTAGGGAAGATTTACCTGAGGGAGTCAGGTTCAAACTGAGATATGAAGGATGAGGAAGGACTAACTAGGCCATGGAGTCAAGTGTGGTGTGAGGGAGAGCATCCCAGTCAATGAGAATAGCATGCGCAAAAGCCCTGTGGTGGGAGAGAACAAGGCATATTCAAGAACCAAAAGACACGCTGAGAACCCAGGGGCAGGGCGGGGTGGGGTGGGCGAGATGGCTGGAGACAGGCCAGACTGTGCAGGCCCTGGTGAGGCTTTGTTTGGGAAGCTTGCTCTGGTGGCTCTATCTGGATTAAAAATGAGGTCTCACAAGTTAGCAGATTTGTAAAGGAATTTTTACTTCATTTGGTTGTGTCTTTCTCTGTCAAGGATTTGTGAAATTGCTGGCTGGGCCTGTGAGCCTGTTAGAAAACCTTGTTAGCCATCGCTCCTTCCACCTGAGGCAGTGGAGCCGTCCTCTCCACGTGCTTTTAGTGTTCTGGTCAGGGAACCCGAAAACCAATAGGATCAAGGAGCCAGCATTGGTCTCAGACCAGCCTCCCCATCTTACTAGTCTGACCAACCCTAAGCCAGATGGAATATTTTACTAGACTCTTTCCTGGTGGGAAAGGAAGACACCAGGGCCTGGCCCCTGAGCCAGAGGGGACCGCGGAGGGGCCCACCACCAGAATGGGGCAGGTCAGCTTGCCTCCCCTGCTGCCGTCTCAGTCCCCAGGAAGTCAGGTCACTCCTCTTCACCCTCTTCACGCTGAGTGTTTTCTGTGGAAGTGAGTAAACCAAACACGATGGCAAATAAGATGAGAAGCAGGATAGCGGTGATGAATAAGATAATCACTGCCAGGCCCCCCTGGTCCCAGGGGTTCTGCCAGAACACATCATTCCAGATTGTCTCTTTGAATACCAGTTGGTCCATGAGAATCTGGAAAAGAGGGACAGAGGACCTGAGCGCAGGCAGCCCTCCCAGGCCCTGTCCCAGGCGCTATGCTCTGCCCGCTGACTCCAGCCTCTGTAGCAGCTTCTGTGAGCAGCCGGCCCGCCTGGCGGCCAGGGGACATGAAAGGGCTGGAGTCTGTGCTCGATGCCTGCGGCCAGCAGCAAATGGCATTTCCCCTGCTCTAGATACAGGAGCCAGGACTGGCGCAAGGAGTGGGGCCCTGGATTTTTCCTGGGGGCTGCCCCTGGATTCTCCAGTCCTTCTTTCCTGAGTAGCAAGTGTGAGCAAGGACTCTCTCTCATCCCTGAAACCTACTTGGCTAAAATCTAACAAGCATCACGGTAGAGCCTCACTGTTTTTCCTGCACCAACTGCCAAACATTTGGGAGGCATTCGAGAGAGCGTATAGGAGCCAAGGAGTGGCCAACTCTAGCTGAGGCCTTGGTGGGCTCCTTGGAGCAGCTGAGAACAGAACTTACCAGTCTTCTAGAAGTGGAGCTCCTTATCACAGACTGCAAGCCCATAGCCAGGTGAGGGCAGCCCGGGTGAAGGAGGAGGGAGCCATTACCCGATTCTGCTGGTAGCTGTTCTGGGGCCTACAAGGGCAATTCAGGGTGGTCCTTCAGGCTCACACTTTGCGGGAGGCTGAGCGGAAGAGGCCGTCAGGTGACCAGAGCTGCACCCTGACTCAAAGAAGCAACTGTTGAGAGGAAAAGGCGTGAGCGTGGCCAAGCGGCCCTGACCAGACCTTCGTTGCTGTCACCAAAGCAAACAAAGGTGGGCTAGGACTGGTTGCCTGGCAACCACAGCTCCCTTTCTGCCTTTCACGCTCCCCCTTTGGCTCCTTTCTGCCCTTGTGTGATGTCATTTTGGGGGTGCTCAGTGCACGTGTTCATGAGTCCCTCCTGAGAGAAGTCAGACTTGGGGTGGACGGGGAAGAGACTGGACCGAGGGCCTTTGCCCCAGGCCATCGGGCCACCTCACCTGTGGCTGGGCTGGGCTGTCCTCTGTCTGGATGATGTGTGGACTGCGGACTTGCCCTGAGCCCGGGAAGCCCTGGGGCTGGGACTGGCGTAGGGCTTACTTCCTGTGTTGTGGGGTGAATGATTAACTGCAGCCCTGGGTGGCGCCTGGTGCCTCCTGGAACTGTTTCTGGGGGAAGGGTTGCTCCCTGCTGAGGCTTCCCATTGGTGCCTTTGTCTGCCCCTTGGACACAGCCTAAGCAACATTGTGTGGTTGGTTTCTGCCCACTGGCACAATAGGGAAGCTGGGAAGAGGGAATCAAGCCTGTGCCCTGGTGCTTGAAACCTAATGGCCACCATTTACTCCTTTAAAAGCTAGGATGTGAGGGCCCACTGTGGCCAGGAAACAGGCACTGTGTGTCCAGTTGTGAGATCAGAGAGGCGGGCCCTGCCCTCCAAGCGCTTCCCTTCTAGCCCTCGGGTGCTTATCACAGCTGGTAAAGATCTGGGAGCTTTTAGAAATGCCCAGGCCCCACCTGGTACCACTTACATCAGTCTCTGGGGGTGCCAGGACATCATATTGTTTACACATCCCCAGGTGATTCTCCCCAGGTGTGGCCAGGGTTGGATGACAGATGGTGGCAGATTTAGAACAGTCGTTCTTAACTATCATTGGCGTCGCTGACCCAGGTTACCTGATGTTTTCCGTTTCCTCGTGTGAAACTTACTGACTAAGGCCCTTGGCATGCTGAATGCTCACAGCAGTGGGCCAGTCTCTAGCTCACCCTGTGTGTGCAGCTCTGTCAGTTAAGTCAGATGCTTATCAAGAGTCAGGTGTTGGTTCCCAAACCTGTTCATGGCAGTTGTAATTACATAATTGAATTTAACATCCCGGGAACCAATGAAGCAACAATAACAGCTGAAACCCCAATTTTACATGTGGGGAACGGGCACAGAGAGGTTAAATAACTTAGCCAAGGTCATCAGCTAGTAAGTAACTGAGTTGGAGTTTGAATCCAGCAGCACACAGTCTGAGCTCTAAAGCACCTCAGAGCGAGTGGAGAAACAAATTGTTTCTAGAAATACCTGTTGAGGCCGGGCGCGGTGGCTCAAGCCTGTAATCCCAGCACTTTGGGAGGCCGAGACGGGCGGATCACGAGGTCAGGAGATCGAGACCATCCCACATCCTAGCTAACACGGTGTAGACCCATCTTACTAAAAAAAAATACAAAAAACTAGACGGCCGACGAGTGGCGGGCGCCTGTTAGTCCCAGCTACTCGGCGGAAGACCTGAGGCAGGAGAAATGTGCGTAAACCCGGAAGCAGGAGCTGCAGTGACTGAGATCGTGGCACCTGTCACCCACCCTGGCCG